GTAGGGGGGCCATCCCCTCTGCAGAGGATCAAAATTGNGGTTAGATCCATCAAAAAGTCCTCCACGTAGGCAAATTTCTCCAATTATTTGATCCGTGTCGCAGTGGACTGATCGTTAAGACGCGGTTCCCAGCAGATCACCAAAGTCAAGCATAATTGGCTGCGGTCAGTGTGCAGGTGCGTGACCATTTGGATTAGTGTGCGTAGGGACCGAGGGTGAGCGGTATTGGTCCTCGTTAAACTGTTCTACCGTAAAGTGCTCGACTTCGCGTGAAGGTCATCGGGCTACCGAAGTAGGGGTGCCATCCCCTCTGCAGAGGATCAAAATTGTGATGGCATGTCTTCGGATCATCCTCAGGGATGTTTACCAGACCATCGCCAATAGCCCATTGTGCAGCTCTAGTGCAACGTAAATGAACTGCAACTACAACAACCAGTTACTTGATCCAGGAGCTCCCTTATCTTCTGGATTGGGTTCTAAATTACAAGACTACGGAGTTGAATATTAGTAGTCGTAAACTCAGAAAATTGGATCGGAAGTTCAACGACTGTTATAAAATAAAATAAAATTAAATATTCAATTTAACTATCAAATTAGGTTTGATATTTTGTTCAGCAATTTAATCACTAATTTTGCGGATTCTTTTATTGAAAATAATTTCAAATATTTATACTATTTGTAAAATATATCATTTTTTCATGATAATATTTGATTTGAAAATACTTTACTTTTACGCCTGATATAAAGACCCTCGTGGTCTGGGCAAAAACGGGTGCAATGACATAAGGTCGTTATAACGAGAATGCACAAAAATATCCTAAATATTGACTCGCGAGCCGCAATGGCTCAGGGGATAGAGCGTTCGCCTTCCAATGAGGTGAACCTGGGTTCGATCCCGGCGATGGCTGGTCGTTACGAATTCTGCATCCGGCTTAAACTGACACAGTGCTGACGTGAAATATCCTCAGTGGTAGGCGGATCATGGGTTGGAGTCCCCTTGCCGTCAGGCTAACCGTGGGAGGTTCTCGTGGTCTTCCTCTCCATGTAACGCAAATGCGGGTTAGCTCCATGAAAAGTCCTCACAATACTCGATCCATGAGTTCCCTTGTCTTTTGGATTGGGTTCAAAATTACAAGGCTACGGAGTTGAACATTAATAGTCTCAAACCCATAAAATCGGGTCTGCTGTTCAACGACGGTTATAAAAATTAAAATTAAAATATTAACTCGCAGCTAAAAATTACTTCACCAATTTTTACAAAGGAATGCTTTGCTATGAAAAGAGTTATTAAACTTACTTAGTAATAACGCGATGTTTTTTAATATAACATACATACAAACATATTCCTGTTCATTCCTAATTGGAGATAATGGCTTCTATCATTGCTCTCCATCTCACTCTCTATGAGCGAAATATTTAGCCTCTCTCCTTGTTCTTCTTATTGTTTTCAATTCACTTAGCATGGTCCTGCACAAAGTATTTTTAGGCCTTCCTCTTTTTCTATTGCCCTGAGGGCTCCAAGCAAAACCTTATTATACTTTTGCAATGGTTCCATAAATTTTGCAATGCAGAAATCCTTAAAAAAGCAAAACAGAAACCAATTGAACTGGAAATTAAAAAACGTGGCTATGTTCCACGTTTTTACATTAACGTATCCTTTAAGGCAGTGTTTCGAAGACTCCGTTGTAATATGAAATGATGCTTTTTTACGAATAATATGAAATGATGCTTTTTTACGAGTTTGCAACTGTTACTCATGACAGTTAGATCAAGTTTCGCCTATCTAAAACCAAGCTTAATTTCAAAATGGCGCAAAGCGTCAATATATAGAAAAGCCACAGTTTTGTGAAAAGGAAAGGCGATTGAAGTCGATTACATCAATTACCTGGGCTCAAAAAAATTTGCGAAAACTGAGGATAAGGCATTTTGATAACTTTGATCCAGGGGGAAAAATGTCACCGAATTGGCAATTTTTATAAAAGTTTATTAACTTACAATATTTAAGTTATTTGACTGCGCTAAAGCGTAGGTAACTCTTCACGGCAAGATTATACATATAGTTTAAAGTCATTGCTTCGCTTCAAGTGTAAGGTACTAAACTATAGTTGTTTTATTTTCCTTGGCGACAGAGCTTGAAATACAGCTCTAAAATAATACTTCATAGGTGAGAAACGTATTAAAAATATTACGCTGGTTCGGGCAGCCCTTTTCAATAAATAACAAACGTCAAAATAACTGCGAAGTAGTAGTAGTAGTTCATTTACGTTGCACTAGAGCTGCACAATGGGCTATCGGCGACGGTCTGGAAAACATCCCTGAAGATGATCCGAAGACATGCCATTGCAATTTTGATCCTCTTCACTCCAACTTCGGTAGCCCAACGACCTGCACGCAAAGTCGAGCACTTTACGGTAGAACAATTTAGCGAGGACCAATACCGCACACCCTCGGTCCCTTCGCAGACTGATGCAAGTGGTCACTCACCCTCACACTGACCGTAGCCAGCGATGCTTGACTTTGGTGATCTGCTGGAAACCGTGTCTTAACGATCAGTCCACTGCGAGACAAAATAACTGCGAAAATGACGTTTTAGCTTGAAAATAAACCACAGAATGGAACTCAATACCCATAGTAAACCATCTGACCAAATGAATTTTTGTTCGAAGGGCCAAAATTTTTATATTTAACCAGCTAAGTTCATCTGACGTGTATACAAAAATCTCGGTTGCGATGCGTAAGACGTGTATACTCGTCGTGTAAAATAAAAATGTATCACTGACTATTAAATTTCGAAATTGCAATAGCATGCAATAAGAATATTATTTGTTGGGACGTTTACCTTATATTACCAATAAAACTGCTGCATATTTTATATTGCGGGATGGAGGGGACTCGTGGTCTTAAACCAATAACGTACGCAAGGCATGACTTGGATTGTAAGCGTTGATTTCTTTACGCAATTAGCAGAGCAGATACAGGTCTCTTAGCTCTTGAGTTAAATACACGAATTCAAAGCATTCGATCGAAAAGCACTCTCTTCCTTGCTTTTGATGCAACTGCAACAGGGCAGAAAGTAGGAAAAAATGTTAGCAAAAGCATTCCCTTTATAGCTGGTTTTTCAGAGTAATAAAAACTGCTCTTACTATTTTTAATTACAAACAATTCATCACAATTTCAACCGCTCTATTCCTGTTCTTGGTTTTATTTCAGCTTTTTTGTGAAATTCTGAGTTAAATGTTCTGGGTTAAATATGGGTTAACAGATGGAATCAGTTGCCAATATTTCTGTGAAATTTTGCATTTGCATCACTTTTAGAGTGCGCTATTTGTTGCTGAAAAATTTAATGAAAAAAATTTTAAAGAATTTTTATAAAAAAAACTGAAACTGGTTAAACAAATTCGCATAGAAACTCGAATTTGGTGCAACGATTTCGAAGTGAGACTTTGACTCGCGCTTTTTTTCGACGTTGTTTATCATACTAGACTTCATTTCTAATAAACGTTTTGCAAGTGTTTTGCATATTTTCATTAAAATATGCGTTGAATATGTATTTTATAAAATAAATCATAATTTAACCAAGATTAGATTTCAAAAACTTCCTTTTATATGATTATTCTTAAATTTCAATTTTCTGACGATTGAAATCTATATTAAAAATCTATATTAAAATCTATATTAAAAAAAACTCTTTTACAACAAATGTTTGTTTATTTCAACTCCAAAACATACGTAGATTTAAAATATGCAATAGAAAAATTACGCAATGCTTGAATCTATTATACATATATATATATATATA